ATTTGTGCATCTGCCTGTAGCTTCTGCACCATGAAGCCGGTTTGGAGGATGACATAGTGCCTGATGCGGGTGTTCTCAAAAGTGGTGTTAATGTCCTGCAAAGGGGCAAGGAGCGTAAGGTGCTCTGAGAACAGGCCGGAGTAAATGGCAGACTTGATGCTCCAGTCACCTCGGGGTGTCCCAACAGATAGCCAGCGAGACCTGCCAGGTGCCAAAGAGGAGTACAGAGGCGCGGAAGGAGAAGACCTGGATAGCTAGCAAAGGAACTTTTGTACTTCAGGATCTCCTTGGGCCGTGCTCGATGAGGTACTCCTTGCACCTGTAGCGCGTTGGGCTTTCCACACTGGCGGGACTTCGTGGGCTGCCCGCTTGAGTGAGCCATGTATGTATGTATGTATGTATGTATGTATGTATGTAGTGTATGTAATGTATGTAATGTATGTAATGTATGTATATATGTATGTAATGAATGTATGTATGTATGTAATGCAATGTAACGTAATGTAACGTAATGTAATGTAATGTAATGTGATGTGATATAATGTAATGTAATGTAATGTATGTATGTATGTATGTATGATCCAAAGTTCCGCCAGACAAAAAGGGACAGTGCTAGTGATGTGCAACTTGTATATATATATATATATATCCTTTTCCAAGCACTGCGTTTAACACTTGAAAACAATTGACTTTTTAGTCGAACTTTTGGGACCAAAGCTGGCTCTATTTTTGGGCTACCAAGACGGGGCCGCCCCTTCTTCCGAAAGCTATCGGCTACCGCCCTGCCAGATTTTTGGGTCCCGTTTTATAGACCATGAAGCTGCACAAGTGCAACGGTATAGTCACAGTCGGACCACCATGCGATCTGGAATGATGTTTCTTTCTGACAATTTGCGGGCTGCATCGGGCAACGCAGCGACAACATGTTTCAATCTCTCACACACAGTATACATAGTCAAGATTGCCAAGGTGCATGAGTTGTAATCAAGGTGATAAGGCTGACTAACTCAATCAATCTCAACTTTTCATTTCTATGAACACCTAAGTTTTGGCATCGAATTCAGCAGTAAAGGGGCGTTACGACCGCCTGGGTTCCTCTCCACCTTTGGTGATCCAGGAGAGGAAGCGCGAAGCTCGAAAAGCGAAGGAGCAGCGTGGGCCGTTCGTTCAAGCTGTTCAATCCTTCAGAACGATTCATATGGTTCATACACTCTGGCTGTTGGCTGTGGACCATCAAGCGGACTTCGAAAAAAATACCGGGTCCATTGGTCTTGACCGCACTTTGGACCTGTTGTTCAAGGCAGTGTGACCCAGACCATAGCTCTTGGTTCGAACGGCCAAACATTTCATCTGCAGGACTGGAAGAAGGTCCAAGATTTTCTTGAGCACCATCAATTTGATCGCGACGATGTCAATGCTCCGAGGTTTTTCTTCTTCAACTTGATGAAGTCATACCCACTGCATCAAGCTGCCAAAGAGCGTAATTGGCCGATCATGACCCTCCTCATCAAATTTGGTGCGGACTGGAAGCAGCGAGATAGCTGGGGCAAAAAGGCGTTCGACTATGTGACTATCTATCATGGAAAACTACGCGCTGAAACTTTTTAAGGTCGACTTACTACGTGTGACCAATTAGGTTTCTTGTGATCCTGCCACTCAAACAACTATGGGCAGAGCCAAGAAGTGCATGACAAGGCGGCTGCAAACTTGAGCAGACCGTCCTCGAGCATTAAGCTCTAATCCTCCCATATTGACGACACTGTGATGTCTCATGGAATGCAACCTCATGGACACACACACACACAACACACACACACACACACACACACGCACACACTCAGGAACCCTTTGTTGAAATGCTGAGAAGCAAGGGCAGATTCTGGCACTCTCGATAAATGTGACACTGACTTAAGGTCTTGCTGAAGGCTTACGTCTTTGAATCGTGACACATTGCATTGATCACACAGGGACGGCAGAAAGTGGGAGGCCTCAAAGAGATTGGGTCAAGCCAGTGGTAGCACTAGACAATCGCAAAGAACCTAGACTTGGAAAAACCCGAGACTTGATCAACACCAGGTGAACCATTCAAACATCAGACCCTAAGGCTTTGACCCATACTCGCAATACGGCAGCACAGTGGCCCGTTTGATTCTTAGGCCTGACCACGTGCTATCACTTTTCCGAATGCGCTGTGAAAGACTGTCGGCTCAAGGAAGAAGTAGCTTAAGTACTTGTGGAGCCTATTCCTACCATTGTTGTCTTTGTTTGAAGGAAGGCCCATCAATAGGCATCCCGACTCAGTCATGTAGGTCTTAGTCAAAGGGATCGTAGTAACGCACCATAACAACTTGTAATCGACATTCATGTTTAGAGAATAAAAGCACCATGTCAAGCCAAGTGTCCCTGAGGGATGGACCTGGTCTCAGGGGCTCTCTAAGATTCCCATGTCCTTTGCGGAAAGAACTCTGGCCACTGGTTTCTCCACTTGACAGGTCGTAGGTAAGAGACTATGGAACCGGACGACTCCCCTTTGGCATATTTTCCTTATATAAATGTCTTGTAGAAGAAGTCTTGCACAAATTCCAAAAGATGTTGAACATATACTTTTGAGCACAAGAGTCTGCAGGGCAATCGGAAATTCTGCGACGACCAGGAACGGTCCTCAGGAAAAATCGGACCTTTTGTTGAGCCCCAACAGAATCGGAGGCGCAAACGAGGTTTGAGCGCACTGGTTTGGGCTCACGAGGCCGTTTGAGGCCGTTTGGCCACAAATTCGATGGTGCACACCAGCACCAAGACTTGGGCCTTTTGGCGACAGCCTGATGAGTTGTAGCCTGACGAAAACCTGTAGCCTGATGTAGCCTGTAGACTTACAGAGTATGGAGTTTTCCCGGAGTGACGCAAAAGGGGATGAGCAAGGATGAGCAAACCTCAGTAGTCAAGGGTTGATACCGAGCATACATCCTGGAATGGGGACAGTCTTTGGAGCACTACCATTTCATTCTATACTAGAGGCTTGATTCCTGCGATCTTGAATCAACGAGGGTGATTGCGAGAAGAGTCCGCCGCTGGAACCTCGACAATTCGGAGAAACAGCATCCTCAAGGGCATGCATGTGTGAACGAGAAGTCTTTTGCAACTTGTCAACACTGCGCATGCAGCATCAAGGAACAGGTATGATGTGCAACAAGACGTGAGCACAGAGTACCCCCTAGTTCTGCAGCCAACATTTCAACATCCTTCCATTGATAAGGTTAAGGCTGGTTTGCTGAACGCCCGGCTTTAGGGGGACAAGCTTGATCGGCTGACTTTTAGGACAACCCCTGGCATGGCTGCTATAGATTATTTCCCATGGGTGGCAGCTGCAACCAAGTCAGTATGCCCCCAGGATTCTGGTGCTGGGCCACATGGGGTGGCTGATGACAGTCTACTCCAGAAGTGGCAAATCTGGTGCCCGGAAGTCTTTGATTAGTGCAAGTATGTACAAGTACAAGCGGCTCCTGGCCCTGAAGGCTTAGAGCTGTTCCACCGTGCGTGCAGTCTTGGTACTCGGCCACAGCATGCCGACGGAAGCTCGACGCAGGTGGTGGAGACCCCTCAGTCAGAGGGTTACTGGTTGGGATGCTGTCTTATCAACAGGGAGCCGAACCGATCAGATTAATTCGATTTCAAGACGCTAAAGCATTTGCACAGAGCAGAATTTGCATCAGAGGCCTGTCCTGGATTTGCATCATTCTGGATGTTCTACAAGTGAGATCGAAAAGAAACAAGCAGACACCTTGGTGAATTTGCCATGACATATTGTTTGTCCTCCTTTCCAGAAATGTGGAGACCCAAATTCCCCTGAAGGCAGAAAGATCACATATCTAAAAATAAGGATTTCATTGATCGTGCACTGCGGAAGCTAGTGACTGCACTCTGTGAATTGGGCCTCGATTCCAGGGCAGGGCAGGTCAGCAGGGACAAAGCACCAGAGCAGGTCCTCCAAAGTTCAAGCGGCTTGGGACGCTCAGAGTTGAAAGAAGAACCCAGGAGCAATTGCCTCCAACCTACTAGCGATGGCCTCCAACCTAGAAGCAATCTACATTGGACTTTCTTCTTTCCTTTTCCTTTTTCTTTGTTTCCAATAGCAATGTCCTCCAAAGTGGCTTGGGACGCTCAGAGTTGACAGCAGACTTTGACGGCGCAGACCGCGGACTTTCCGGAGGCTTTTCTGGTTAGGTTGAGCAAACAGGTGCAAATATAAGAGGATCTGATGGACCCTGCAGCAGATTCGATGAATGAACGAATCATTGGCTGGACTTGTGACTGGCTCCATCCACAGTGAGGAGGCTTTCACCATAGGTTCAGCTGCTCATTGCCAAAGGTTTCATCCAAATGCGAGGTCCAATGGTTCATTGTTTGCAAAGCGTGTTTGTAGAACCGTGCAGTTCCTGAGGGCGCAAGCTCAGAGAACCCTCCCAATGCCAGGATGGTTAAGTATGTGAGACAGTGTGTTCCCGACCTTTGTCATACCACTGCTCTTTACGGAAAAAACAATTCTCATGATTTGCCACTCTGGACCTCTACTTTTAGCCAGCACAGTGAATCTGGAGACCCCGCACGCGCGCCAAGGCAATTGAACAGATACGATAGTGCGAGGATTAGGGACCTGACACAGACTGTGGGGTGTACCACTAACTTCTCATTGGCCTGAACAGCCAGCCCATGGTTTTCAGAGCTTTTAGTTGAGAGGTTATTGCCTTGACGCCATAATCTTGGGTTCTCCTAGATCGAGAACATTGAGTTTGAAGCTGGTTGCTCCAAAAGACTTGCGAGATGGTGCATTTGCACAGAGTTTATGCCCCTCTTGGAACACTGTGAGCCAGCTAGCCGACCTAGCGGACGCGGATATGCTCTCTGAATTGTTTGGTCGAACACAAGAAAGGACTCGTTGTGGAGGCTATTAGGTTGGAGGCCGCTAGTAGGCTGGAGCGACTTCTTGGGCCAAGCGGACCAAGGCCATCGGCGTGCTGATCGGCTTTGCCTGGGAGAAGTGCTTCGATGTGGCCGTGGACGAGACCGCTGAGCGGGACGGGTCTCCGAGGGAAACCGTCACCGGCCGAGAGAGCTTAGGAGCGATGGGGACGGGCTGGAAAACAGAAGGTCTAGGGCAGAGGAGCTCCTGGAAGAGGTCTGCAGGTGGTTCCGGAGGTGGCGATTCCTGAGGTGTTGAACGTTGGTGCCACACTCTTCGTGCAACCTTAGCATTTTTCTACTGAGAGCGCGTTGCACAACTCAACACATGGAGGGAGCTGGAATTTGAGTGCTGTGCTCATTTAGGTCCGTTTCGAAGCGGTTCAATCGTCTGCCCCCAATGTATGCTGAAGATCCTGATGTCAATTTGATGGATCTCGTCCAACTGGTTTGGTCTTCAACGTTACTCGCCCTCTGGATCCTCTGGGTCGCATTCGACCGAGTGCCAGGAAGCTGACAAGGTCCCACCAGCCTTAGTCAAAGTGGTTCTGGCCTTGATGCTGGCCTTGGACTCAGCGGATGCTTTCAGGGGCTGGAACGATGCGAGGAGATCATGGTGGGATTTGCCCAAATAGTGGAGATCCACGTTCTGAACATCATTGTTAGCCAAGATCGAAGCACCACGGAAATCAGTCGCTGCAACAAGAGGTACACCTGAAAGGTTCTCAAATGGGCTGAGGTTGTCACAGGCGGCTGTCTCACCATTTCAACATATTTCAACACAGATCTTGTTAGCAATGATGGCAGTCTTGATTTTCGCCACAGAAGCACAGGAGGCTTCTGGTGTTTTGCCCGGCCAAGTCCAAGGCCACCTTAGTAGTTCCGGCGTGGAGATGGTACATCCTACCAGCCTGGATCTTGGAGATTTGGTCGAAAGTGAAAAAGAACCAACCCGAAAGTAGACCATTGGCATCAAGGTGGACTAATTTGACTCCATCAGTTGATTTATTCAGCTCGCTCATTCTCCTTCGCAAGTGCTGGGGCGATACTCTTCAGGTGAACCCATGCCTCATGCCTTTTGACTTTACTGTGAAGCTTCGACCATCGCAACCTGAAAAGTATTTTTCTCGGCATAGCGAAGGGGCAGCGCGTTTTGCGTGACGTTGCTTTCGTGTTCGCAACCGTTTGCAACCGTTCTGCAAGTGACGGAATGTGATCGGGAAGGGCCGTGGTTTTGGATGGAATAGCGTGCAAACGTGACATGCTCAAGTGTGAAGCTTGATTTCCTGCGCAGGTGCAGCGTTTTGTGAGGTCAGGAAATGTGGTCGCTGTGCATTGGGACTGCGTTTCAAGCTAAACTGAGTGTGCGCAGAAGGTGTTGAAGTCATTCCAAGCGCGTGGTGTGGTGCAACATTTGCTGTCCGACGAGACTGTCCCACAAGAGTGTCCGACAAAGCTGTCGCAAGAGTGTCCCGCAAAGAGTGCACCCCAAGAGTGTCCGACAAAGCTGTCCCACAAGAGTGTCTCAGAGTGTCCCACAAGAGTGTTCGACAAGAGTGTCCTTCAAGAGTGTTCGACAAGAGTGTCCTACAAGAGTGTCCCGCAAGAGCTTCAAACAATGCTTGGCCGCTTGTTTTTGGCCGCTTGTGTGCATTCTGGTTCGTGGGCTCCAGGTGGTTTTATATATAGAAGATTTGAATATAGGAGCAAGAAGCTACTAGGGGCTCCTGGCATCGCTACTAGGAGCAAGGACGCTACTAGGGGCTCCTGGCCTTACTACTAGGAACAAGAAGCTATATCAACAAAAGTCAGGGCTCGAAAAAGAGATCCATCGATTTGGAAGGTGGTCCGTGAGCTGGGTGGCTTCAGCGAGGAGGAGGCTGAGGAGGCTAGGCGGTTGCGGGGGGTTTATCCTGTTGGATGGTCCTGGTGGAATCCAAACATTTCGCTTATTGCCCACATCAGCTCTGGAGCTTCAAGACGTTGGATCGTCATAAAATGTGCCAGGATTACCGTTTGACACAGAATGGCTGGATGCCCATTTGCCTTTCAACTGTATATTCGAAGGACCACCTGGAACTCTTCTGTTCGAAAACTTGTATCAAAGACAACAACGTTCGATATTCTATTCCATGTTTCTCGTTCGCTCCCAAGCGATCGCTTCTACACTCTTGTAGCGGTCGGGAAGCGGAGTCTACGACGGCCGAACTGGACGGGTGTTTCGGTGTTTGGGCCATAAACAATGCCGCGACATACCTGGATGCAGTTCTTGGTCATGGTGCAACACCACCATTTTTGGGTCATGTGTTGGTGTCTCAAGTCCCAAACCCGCACGGCCAATGCCCAGGAAGATGACGAGAGCAAAGAGGCCCTAGACTGAACCGTGCTGGTAGTAAGGTGCTGGTTGATGTTAACCTTGGCAATGAACACGCTTGGCAGGCAACATGTGTGAGAGTGAGCAGTCTGACTGCTGAGATTTGGTGTTTGGAGAAGTGAACATTCTGTGCTGGGAAGCTGTCTAATGTGTGTCAAGAGCCTGAGGAAAGTACTGTACATAGTCCCTTCTTGTTCATGAGGCTGGGCTGACTCAAACTCCAAAGTCCAATAAAAAATGGTACCGAAAGGTCCAGCACCGGTTGCTAATGCTGGAGGCATATATCCCGCCGATCCTACCAGAAGACCTGTACAAAGAGATCGAGGTTGGAGCTAGTTCTTTTTCCTCAAGTGACTGGCCGAACTCTGTTTTTGGATTGCCAAAGAAGCCAAAGCAGTTCGGATCGGTTGAAGGCTTGTCCGACAGTTCTGAACTGAGGAACCCCATTCTCCTAAACCATTTGCTGAACTATAGCTGCACGACCTCCCCATCACCAGTCAACCGACTCCTGGGTAACAAAGGTGTTTTCCAACGTCTCCTGTGTCATTGGAGTTCTCCGGTAAGCAGAAAAGACACCGTTGGCTACCGATCCAACCCATTGAGATTTCAGACATGGTCTTCACTTTTCCTCAGCTTCTTTGCATCTCCACTACAGCTTTCCGCTAGAAACAAGTTCCTCGCTAGTAGTAACAGGTGCCTTACTAGTAGTAACAAGGACGCTAGTAGAAACTCACGTTCGACTTGTGCTTCGGTACTCCGGACTCCACGAGTTTGTGCTCCGAACGAGCATAGTAGCGTCCGAACGCTCCGTTCGTAGCGATGCCCTTGCTCCGTTCGTAGCGAACCTTGCTCCTAGTAGTATGGCCAGGAGCCCCTAGTGGTGTCCTTGCTCCTAGTAGCGATGCCAGAAGCCCCTAGTAGCTTCTTGCTCCTATATTCTCTTTTCGAGCCCTGGCTTTTGTTGATAGCTTCTTGTTCCTAGTAGTAAGGCCGGGAGCCCCTAGTAGCGTCTTGTTCCTAGTAGCGTCTTGTTCCTTGTGCCGACTCAGTACTTTTTGGCTCTGAACCTGTGAACTGCCTCCAAGTGACCGCGGCTGGTGGCCTGCGATTTGTCCAAGTAACAGACAGTGCCTTGTCTAAAAACCGCAGGGATCGTTTTGTGTTTTGTGTTCGAAGGAAGGAAGGCCGGAAGGACGAAGCCGAAGATGTGCACCTATGCATCGTTTGCAGGACTTCACACATTTTATCCAGTTTACATTAGATGCCTCAACCGCCTGAACCTGTGTGTTGTGTTTTTTCCACTCCAAATGCTTACAATACCCTTGTGGAGAAGGGGATGTTACAAGGATGTTCAATGCAACTTTCGGCAGACGGGACCTGGCTATTCAGCTTAGGTTCAAGTAAAGATATAGTAGCACCCCTTAGCTCGACTCCTTCTAGCAGTTTCCACGTTTGACAAAGTCAATCGACCATTTCACTGAATGTATCCGAGATGTCGAACTACGTCTGCCGTGGCACCTTCATTGGCGAGGTTGGATGTCTGGGGTCACATGGGCGAGACACCTTGCAGAAACTGAAGGACTCAATGAAACCGGTAATACAGCCAGCATGGTTTGGCCTTTAGATACAGACTCGCAAAAATCCGAGGTTCTGGTTGTGCAGAAAGTGGACAACAACACCCCCCCAAAAAAACCGCTTGACACGAGTGTACTGCGCCAGTTGAACTGGGGGTAGGATTATGCAGGATTGTGTGGTTGTCGGGTTGCTTATTGATGCAGGGAACCACGCTGCAGTTCGAAATCACACCCTGAGAATCTGTCCACCCAAACAGCCATTCCTTTACAGTATATGATTTTTTTCAGGTTCCAAGTCAGGAATCGCTAGCCTTTTGGGTTTACTGTAGTTTCCAAATCAGGGGTGAGTGTCCGAGTGGCTTCCAGATCATAGTTTCTCAATCAGGCTGGTTTCTGACTCTTGCTTTCCAAATCCGTCCTTGACTGCTGACGGCCATGTCATTAGAGGGCCACACACTCACAACCAGACGAAAAGAGCGGCACATTGACCGAAACGTGCTGCCAGGCCTCCCAGATGCCAAAGGCCCGCTATCACAGCTGCCCGCCACCCGAGGTCGAGGCCCAACATGCATGGTCAGTGGCTCCTTTTGTTGGGAACTTTTCGGTTGAGGAGCTTCTGTTTACCCCACAAGAGAGCGGGACTGCAGCCATGTCATTCGGAACGTTAAACCTTCGCATTCACCTGTGGGCATTTTGGGGCACTCTGCAACATCTTTGTGAGTGAGACACCAAGATACATAGAGAGACATAGCAATGGCCTCCAACCTAATTACATAGAGATGCTGTACACAGCAATCACTGCTTTACTGTCACCGCAACTGGCCCTTTTGGGTAATTACCCTGGAGCACTTCTTTCTTGCTGAAAGTTCACGCGACATTGGCATCGGTATTTACAAGCTTCTTCACATTCCGTGACATCTCAAAGTTTACTTGGCAGATAATTAATGGTGACCTGAAGACATCAACACGTGTTTGGGGGATTCTGGGGGTGTTGACGTTGTCGCTTGCGTTTGGGAGCCAAGTTTTGGAGGGATCTTCGCCAGGACCTGCAGATGAAGGTGTACATGTCCACACTGGAGAGCCGTTCCCGGCCGCTAGACGAAAAGTGTTACAGTGTTATACTTTTTTGGGGGACAGACAACAGCCTGTGACAGCCATCTAAAGATTGAACATCCACCAGTCTTGTGCAAGGGACCACGTGGACTTGCCTGCACTCATACTTTTGCAAGGAATCATGAAGATCAGGTATCACCTCAACTCTGCGTGTTTCTGTGTCGACATCCGAATCTTTTGGAACACCCAACTTTCCGCACAACCTAGGAGATTTCGCAAGGGAATGGACTTGATGGAGGAGAAGGACTTGAAGAACTTATGGTTTGAGCCACTGGTGCTGCTCAGCGGCTTTAGCCTAGTTTGGTGATTGACATGGGTATCAAGCAAAGGGCAGGTATTCCATGCCAGTTCACACAAACGATTTACAGGTGGACCTTTTCTGTTCAGATTCCACAAGACCGTCTACTGATGGAAGGAGCCCCCGTATATGGACTGGTCCCGGAAACCTGCTAGCTCTTCTCATTTTTTTGTTCCCCACATGCCAGTGTGGGGTTCTTCTTTTTAGGGTCCTACTCTCCCATCCCGCCAGTTCAACACAGAACGCAACAGTCACTTTGACGTGGACAGTCGGCAGTCTTGATGTGGACATTATCGCATCATGCTTCACAGTACCCACACCCACATCACACACGCATCATACATGATCTACGTGTTCACACTTCACATCACGACATCGTTCATTGCATTTGTGACACCTGGTTTCAGAGACAGAGTTTCTTTGGAAGTTATTTTTCTTATGACCCTGTTCGTCACCTCCACTCATCCACCCACTATCATTCCTCTGCTGTCCACTTTTCGTTTTGCTTAGCTACGAACGCACAAACTTGACATGCGGGGTTATCCGGTTCTTTAACTTTTAAATACTTTCTACACCACCTTCAGCGTTTGATGCATCAGGGTACTGTAGGACCCCAACCTGCACCTCAGGCTGAGCTATGGAAGCTTTGGACACCCGGAGCTTTGCCATCGGCCCTGTGTGCATTTGGCCAAAGGTGCTTGATGGGTAGATTGTAGATGAGATGAGTCAAGTTTCTGTGGGACGGTTTGCATGGACATTACCTGCCTTTCTTCCACTAACTTGCCGCATCCCGATATTTTCCAGCTTGCAATCTACAAATGACATTCTCGGTCAGCAAACCGCTTTTGTCGGTTTCCTTCCGTGATGCTGGAGGCTATGCAATGGATTGATTCATGTTCTTGAACATGATATTGTGGTCCTTACCTGGGAAACCATCCCAGGAGTTGGACGAGCATAGAACTTGTGCCCCACTCCCAAAGATCAGAGAATTGCTTTCTTTGAGCAGAAAAGACACTTATATATGCAAAGAAAGATTAGCCACCTGGTGAAGTATTTGATTTCTATGGGCGATCGACACGGTTGCAACACCTGGTGCTTATTCACCCCTATAGGACCTGTTGTCTCTCTTGCAGGTCCACAGACTACAGGTAGATGTCGTGTTTTTTGGATAGGCAGAGCCACTTGGCAGAGCCACTTCATAAGGCCGATCCTTGCTTTATGCTTAGGGCTGACGGGAAGGGCCGTCCTTAGTACCGAGGACTTGCACAGGAAACTCTGACTGCTTCTTGCCTTTCTAATTGCTTTTGTTTCCGTCTTGTTTCGCTGTCAACTCGGGCGTCAACTCGGACTTCCGTTTTGCCTCGAGATCGTAAAGCTGTTGCATCCGCGGCATCTTCCAGGTCGTTTGCCCACTCTGCATTTCTCTTGAAGTTTTGTTTTTCTGTTGCTGTAATCATCTATGCACCCCACTGTGGTGATGGGCGACGGGTGGTAAGTCCTCACACCTATATACACAAGGCATTTGCACCTTGACATGAGCCTTCTGATCCGTTGGACATGTACTCATGTCTTCCTTGGCTTGTGCTCACGGAGATTGAAAGCATCTGGCCAGCTGGAGCATCCACCTCGTTATAGTTAGCTATGCAATACATTAGCCACGCTGGAAGCTTAACCCGCCAAAAGGCCGAGACAAGCCATCAAGCCAAGTAACTGATATACATATAAATATAAATAAATAAATAAATAAACATAAAAAATATTTATACATCGGTAGTGCAGACAGCCGCCTCGACGTTTGTAAGCATTATCTCTATTTGGCAAAGCCCACTTTCGAGTCGTGCCACTGCGCTTGCTTGTGGACACGCGGTGACTCCACCCTCACAGGTCAATGTAAGGATGGTGCCGATTGCGGGTATTGCCACTTGGAGCATGGTCGACCAGTACATCCAGACAGGAAGCAACTTGAGCTGAAGAAGGGGACTCCGAGCAGATCAAGATATTCATCCGCCAAATACCAACATGGACCCTGTGGAAGACTAGTTTCTAAGGTTCTTTTGCTCTGGGTCTGTGCTAAGCTAATGGTCGTTGACAGAAAGTCCTTGCATCAATCATGCTATACCAGTCACAGATGCCGAGGAGTGTTTTTCGGGGATAGACCGACCAGTCACTTGAACAGACATAAATTTTACAAGACCCCCCAAATCTATGAAACACATCATTAAGCGTGAGCCCTTCTGCGACCGATCGGTAATAGCTTCTTCATCTTGTTGCTTAGCTACTACTTGGCAGCCTACGCTTATGGCCTACCCCCCACCGGCTGTTAAAAGGTGCTTTGAAAGA